TCTTTCTCTCGTTTCACTCTCTCCCTCTTTCTCTCTCACTTTCTCGTTGACAGGCGGAAATAGACAAACGTTCCGATTTCGCCCGTTGGAGATGTCAACTGTGCTTTGCGTTTGCGCACGGTGGGTTGATTAGCAGTGTTTTTTTTTTATTTAAAATTTAGTGCGGACTTTGCCGTCTTTTGTTTTAATTTACAGGAAGCACAAAGGACAAATGACGCAAGCGCTGTTTATGCTTGTCCAATGGCTTTATTTTTGTACTTAATGCTTATGACTACATACATGCAAAGTCTTACAAATAATTATATACATTTGCTGGTCAACTAATTAACTGGGTTTAAATATTTATGTTAAACATAAATTAACAAACAAAACAAGATAAACTGGCAAAAGGAATATAATACTAAACACAGAAACTTAACTAACCGATGAGCCTACCTTAAAGTTTTGAATTTATAACTAAACTAGCTACCTACAGTTAAATATCATATTCGCAAAAACTGTACATCGCCAATCGACTTCAAAGCCATTGTTGGCGGTGATTGACCGGTAACACGTTGCGAAGTAATGAACCCACTGGTGATCGAAAACTTTGAGAAGCTTCTGGAGCTAAATCCTCAAACATGTTTTATAACTTTGTACTACCTATATTTAACACAGGATGTCAGCCCTTCAAGAAATATTCCCAATCGTGTAGTCTTCTCCGATTTCGGCAATTCAGTGAATTTTGATTTATCTATGACGCAGGAAATCCGCGGAATTTCAGAGCATCATCGTCCTATGATTGCTCCGTCATTATACGCTGCAAAGTTTGGCCATGTTGATTCTGCAAGAACGTTTTTCACAGATGGATCTCTAATAGAGGAGTCCGCTGGTTTTGGTGTATTTAATGAATTTCATAGCGCCTCTCGAAATCTTGAAGCTCCTTGTTCTGTGTATGTGGCTGAACTGGCAGCAATTCACTACACTTTGGAAACTATTGCTTCACTTCTTCCACACCACTACTTTATTTTTACGGATAGTCTCAGTTCTGTCGAGGCTATCCGTTCCATTAGGCCGGTAAAGCACTTCTCGTATTTTCTCTTGAAAATACGAGAACTGCTTAGTGCTTTATCCGTGCGCTCTTTCATCATCACCTTCGCGTGGGTCCCTTCTCATTGCTCAATTTTGGGCAATGATAAGGCGGATTCACTTGCGAAGGTGGGCGCTATGGAAGGCGACATTTATGATCGACAAATCGCCTATAGGGAATTTTTCTCTATTTATCGTCAGCAGTCGCTCGTTAGCTGGCAACATCAATGGAGTGAAGGGAGCTTGGGACGATGGCTACATTCAATTATCCCTAAGGTGTCGAAGTTTGCATGGTTCAAAGGGTTGGACTTGGGTCGAGACTTCATACGCGTGATGTCTCGTCTCATGTCCAATCACTATTGTTTGAACGCTCACTTGTTCCGTGTGGGATTGGGAGACAGCAATCTCTGTGAATGTGGACAAGGTTACCAGGACGCTGATCACATCCTTTGATCTTGTGCGGAGTATCGTGGAGTCAGATCACATTTTTATGATTCCCTTCGGGCTCGAGGTAGACAACCTAATGTTCCAGTTCGGGATATTTTGGCTAGACGCGATCTGGAGTTTATGAAACTCATATATGTTTACTTTAAGGATATTAACCTTAGATTATAAGTTTGATTAACCTTGTGTTTAGTTTGTATTTTGTACGTGTGGGGGGTTTTTTTTCAATGTTTGTTTTCAAGATGAATAGAAATAATTTCATGCTTTAGAATTAATTAAATAGTTGTATCGTAAACCACATTTCAAACCTCCTTCTTCCCTTTTCTCATCCAAAAATTATAAATCTCCACTAACCTCGAGACAACCGCGAGTACTCGGTCCAGTTCCTTTAACTTTAAATTTAAGACAGTAATAATGTACAACGCAATGGATAACTCGGCTCTGTAAAGTATATTCGATTGAGCCTGTACAAATAAAGTAATTATAAAAAAAATCATATGTAGGCTGCACAAATTTAGTGGTGTTATGTATTTGAAACAACCCTTCAATATAGTATTATCAACTGCGGAACTGCTCTCAGTGTAGTTCATCTCCGGAGAAAGGAGAGGCCTCAGAGTGAGTAACCTCTAAATGCATGGTATATTAACATTTTGTAAATAACTTTGATTGCTGGCGCTTCAACTTATATGGAAAAAATAAAAATATATAACATAGAGAAACAGAAGAACAACAGAGCTCAGCTGGCATGGGTCCAATAGGGGATCCATCCAGCTGAGATGTCCCGTCGGCCGAAAGAAATTCCTGCTATACCAAGTGGTAGATTTTGGCTTCTTTTAAGAAGGTTACTAGTGCTGCCTAGGCCAGAGTATCATTCCCGAGCAGATTCCTGATGCTGGAAGTTAGGCAGAGCGACTCCCGAATATTTTGGAACTCCGGGAAGTTGCAAAGGATGTGTTCGACGGTGTAGGGTACCGCGCAGATGATGCAGCTTCTGCGGAACGGCAGGCCACCATAGTTATAGTAGAGTTTGGTGTGCCCGGTCCGAAGCCGCGAAATCACGCGTTGATCCCTCAGTTTGTCCAGTTCGCTCCATGCTTCAGTTGACCCTTTGACTTTGCGGATGAAGGCAGTTCTGTTCCGGAACCACTCGGCCTCTCATGCCGCTCGAATGGTCCGCATGATCGACCGTCTGACGTCCTGTAGGGGTACCTTGCCAGTGAGTCTGGGACCCGATGTCCCGGCTCCGGCAAGGTGATCAGTAGACTCGTTACCTGGCACTCCAGAGTGTCCGAAAATCCATGTGTACACGGCTCCATGGGTGTTTCGGTGCTTCCGAGGTGATCGGTTGAACGACGCTGTGTGAGTCGGTTAAGATAAGCATCGGTTTGTTGACTGGCGTCGTAGCGGCATGGAAGATCACTGCAGCCTCGACCGAGAAAACCAAGCACTGTGGAGGAAGACCAATTTTTCTCTCCATGCCAATGGACTTTGGGCACTGGGGGGACGTTGATGTCGGCGGCCGTGCGGAGGACTCTGTTCCCCTCGTCAAGGAGAAGGATCCTATTGTTTCCGGAGGTCTTGGCGAGGCGGCGGCTTTTGTGGCAATATTTGCGTTTTAAGCAGAATCGGAAAGGAAGAAGACCCGCTTCGATGCATGCGGCGTCTACTGGAGTGGATGGCAGGAGACCAGATATGATGCGGATGTAGCTGTTGTAGACCGGTGCTAGAGTTCTAACCTTCAGAAGGGAAGTAAGGCCATTGGTCCCGGCCCATATATGTTGAATGGGTGCGATATCCTACGCAATGGGTGCGATATCCTGCACATTCGATTGCCGTCAATCGATGGCAATCGATGTCTGTCGGTGATTGGCACTAGATTGCGGAACAGAGACCGACGTTAAATAAAGGAAAAGAAGAAGAGCTTTCAGATAGGCATCTTCTGACCATGCATGTCTTGCCTTGTCAAAGTCCAGTTCTTCTTCAGCCGCCATAGGAGTCGACCATGGGAAGTGAGTGCTTATCATTTCTTCCAATGCATGCAATGTTTTAGGAGAGTCAGCAGTAAATGTCCCATCTTCTTTTTTGAGGCTACCAAGACCATTCGAATGGTCTTTTGAAAGAGTTTTATGCATCATCGCAGCTGTTGGAGCGCTATTGATGTCTTCACATACCCGTCTCCAGTCCTTCCGTTTGGCTCGCCTCAATTCTCTGTTGTATTCAGTTAGAGCCTTTTTGTATTGGTCCCAATTTGAAGTAGCCTTTGCTCTATTGAACAGCCGTCTGTATATCTTCCTCAATTTAGCCAGCTTCTCGTTCCACCAAGGAACATCCCTACTGTATTAGTTGTTGGATAGGGAAGCTAGCATGATATGATGAGATCATTTTATTGATGACCGCATCGGACGCACTTTCTAGTTGCATGCGCGTCCTAATCTGTGCGTCATTAATCGAATTGTTATTCAATAAATGGAAACGATAGAGGTCCCAGTTAGTTTTTCTTGGGTTTCTATAGTTTTCTGAAATTACTGGTCCGGCTTTATAATCAAACCTGATGTTTGTGGTCTGATAACGATTCTTCATCAGAAACATGTCAGTCCACAATCTTTTCTGTTAAAAGGTCACTGTAGATCGTGAGATCGAGAACCTTTTGTTGAATAACGTTGATAAATGTTGGAGAATTTCCTCTATTACATATGTCAATATCGCTAGACGATATGTAATTCAGGAGATCCTCATCTCAAATACATACTTTGCAACCTCCTCTTCTAACTTACAAGTAAATCATGTAATCAAATGAGTTATGAGTTCACAATTCAGAAAAACTTTTTTCATGCCAAATGAGCCAAAGCAACCTTTGCATAACTAAAATGCATTATTTCATAGCTAACAAACCTAACGGAAAGCATTTCCGAAGGCAGGCCGAAAAAAAATTCAAATGGAGCACGTTCACAGAATCCACACCACGTGCTCGGCATTCTCTGATGCGAGAACCAACAGCTCTCCGCTGAGAGTTGACTGCGCTTGCATTTTCTCGTACACCTTTCCTCTCTCAAAGTGACCACCCAGTTCGGAGATATTCGCCTAATTCGCGGAAAACATAAACAACATTCAATCGCAAAACGAGAGAGTGAGCATTTTTATTCTCCGCTTTTCTTACAGCGGTACCGAGCTGTTTTTGGCTACACGCGCTTCTGCATCCTTTGAAGGTGCTGCTGAGCAAACTTTCCTACCAGTTGCGTTTGAGCCGTGACCGCGAGCGAACGTGTTTTCCGTATTTGCATTCGAAAGGTGTGTCCGTTATGCTTCAACTCGGTTACTGGAGTGCAAGCAATTCGTCCGGAGTGCAGTGTGGAGTGGAAGTAGTTTTTCCAGCTGATGGCTGGGAACGGAAAACTAAAGGAAATTAATACCTTCAGTGTGAGCTAGTGACTGTGTGAGTGTGCCGCAGGAGATTTTCCTTTCTCAAGTGACATTGAAAATTTTCACCGAGTGCGGAAACCGGGCTTTCTGCGTTGTCTCGGTTGGCGAATTGGCACTTGGTGAAGTCGGTTTCAATTTACGATAATTGTGCCGGATAGCAATTTAGTGAGGTTTCTGCTCGAATTTGAAAAAATAAAACCTAGTGACCAGATTCCGAAAGGAAGAGACGGGAAAAATTCCGAGACATCTACTGTGCGTACACAGGTCGTCCAATCGCCGAGGACAGCTGCGAAAAGAGGGACAGTGCAAAAAGAAAAAAAAACGTGGATAACGTATTGTGGGGCAGAGAAGCCGGAGAGACAAAATTAAATCGTGGGTGGATTCACACGCGTTATCCGAAATTGCTTGGTTTCGGGTAGCGGTGGGTGGGGGCGAATGTTTCTTTTCGTTGCTATTATTGTAGTTTTCGTCTCATCGCCGACGACGGCGACGATGTTGATTGTGTTTTGGTGGTTTTATTTTGGTCCCTTCGGGGCATTTGAGACGGATTTGGGGGTTGTGTCACTGTGAGCTTAGTTAAGAGATCGAAAGTGCAATCTTTGGTTTTGGATCTTGTTCAATTCAAATAACATTTTTGTTTGAATTTGAACAGAGAAAAACGAGAATAACAAGGAATACCTTTTAAAGTTGATTAGCAGACATGAACCTTAGCTTTGGGCACAACAGTGATGCATGATATTACTATCCAAAGTCGCATCCGTTTGTAAATTAAAATTAAAATCAGTTCCTGCATACGTTAGCAAATAAACAATAAATACTGACTTTGCATAAGATGCTAATTCAAATCTAATCTTGTCACCATTAACACTAAGTAATCGGATAGAAAGCTAATCAATTTGATTTCTTTGTTTATAATTCATTCTCGGTCTGGGAACGATTATTGTCACTATCAACAAGGCGCATAATGTAGTGTGCAATAAGTGTACGCCTTCGATCTCTAGAACTCGTCAGAGAGTTAGGTAACACTTACACTGTAATGGACTACTTAGAGGTGTTCTCCACGTTTAATACGGCGGTTAATCTTTATATGAACGAACGAAATCAACCCTTGTTTGTGTACTATTCGGAGCGAAAAACACTGCCTTTAAGTTTCATGTTTCACTTATAGTACGTTCAGACTACAGAGTTATAACATGTTATAACTCTGTAGTCTGAACAAGGCAATAGTAAATTCAGTTTTCATTCAATTTTGGGATCGTGTTTTCGATAATGTAGCAACCCTTGAACTTTGAAACCACGGTGAAGAGCTGTCATGTCCTGTTATTATTCTGTAGTTATTCCACGTGGACAGTTTTTGAGAGGTGTGGACTGTGGCCATATGTTAACCCCCCCCCCCCTCACCTCCCTCCTAAACTATCACCGGGTTCAAATCACAATTCAAGACCAACAATTGAAAAGTGGCTGCATCAATTTTTGGTCCCAAATGAATTAGAGCGTTTTATAAATTGAATAGGCTGGGTAGTAATGATTAATTTAATTAGTAATATTTTTGATATTTGTATCCATTGCTGAACCGGAGGTAATAATTTGAAAAGATATGTATCTTACAAATACAATAAACAAACAATAAAAGGCCTCAGCTCCATTATGTAAACAAACCTTGTAAGGCCATTTGGTCGTGAACTGAAGTCCGCCAACGCAAACCAACAAAATGATTAGGTAGGGGCAATCCTTCTCTACCCGATTGTATTTTAGGTTTGCGAGAGTTTAAAAAAAAAATCCCTAAACATCTGGAAAATCCGTAGAGTTCTATGGTTGGTCCGTAGATCCGTAGAAAATCTAAAAATCCGTAGATCTACGGATAAATCTGTAGAACTGACCACACTGCTTACAAAAGGTTTGTTTACAAAATGAAGTTGAGGCCTTTTCAATTGTTGGTCGTGAATTGATTTAAAATGTATAGAGGGCGCTAAAAATATCTAAAATAAAACACTAAGGTGTCAGCTAGCACAAACAAATAACTATCAAGCTTGAACTAGCAAATGCTTTTCTTATATACATATTTAGTTTTGAAATTGCATGCTTGCTTTATTAAAATTGCAAATGCAAATTCTCAATTCTGTGGTGAAGATGATCATACAGGTTTTTATGCAATGCAATTTAGAAATAGTTAAAAACACGCCTAAATGTAGGCAATTTTACATCAGTTTTTCACCAGTGTTGTCATGGCAAATTTAGCCCTGGTTACTTACTGATTTGAGATGAGGCATAAAAGTTGATTTTCTTGGGCCATTTGTGAAAAAGTTATTTTGCTTTCAAGAAATCCTTAACAAATTCATCAGTGGCGTAGCGTGTCCTGGTGACACCCGGGGCGGATTTTTTGGGTGTCACCCCAAAACTGATGCAAAATTTGACTTTTTCGCTCCACAATACTTAAACGATTCCAAATCGGATCCTGACTAACCTCTCAAAATTGAACCCATTTGGGGAGAAACTGAGATGGCACAAACCATTTGAAGTTTGTATGGGAATTACTATGGTAAAACCAAGATTTTTGTTCATGTCTTTCTAATAATTCACCATATCGGTCTGCTTCCAAAGCATTCAACTTTTCTTGTAGGAAATTTTTCCAGCTACAACTTTGCTCAAGACCACTGTTTGATTAAATGCAAGGATCGAAAGTTATCAATGGTTCAATGCGCTGATGTCTTATGATCATGCTCAATCAACTGCTCAGCAGGCAACATTGGTGTTTCTGGGGTGTTGAATAGGACACACAAATCATGGCTACTATGTCACACTGAAAAATACAGTGTTACCTACAGAGCAGCTGCTTGATCATGTCATAATTTTACCAATCTCCTAAATAATTAATAACTTTTTCCTGTCTCGTTTTACATAGAAACGATCTTCAGCAAAGTTGTAGCTGAGATTTTCTATAAGAATGGCTATCGAACTGTTTCGCAGCTCAATATGGAAAAACACTAGAAGGCGATGAACAAAAAGTTGAGATTTCCCATAGTAATTTACATGTAAACTTCAAATGGCTTGTGCGAAGTCTGTTTCTAACCAAATGAGTTGTAACTTTGGGAGCCTCATCAGGACCCGATTTGAAACCATTTAAGCACTGTGGAGCGAAAAGGTCAAATTTTGCATCAGTCTAATGCACATGAGTACTTACCATAAATTACTGTTTCCTTAATAAAACATAAATAAAACATCTAGTTTACCAAGCCAAAAACATCATTATAGTATTCAAAAAACAAGAATTCAGCAAATTGTGACACGTGGTGTAGCAAACTGTAGTTGATTACACTCTTCACCAAATGTATTCAAAATTTTTAAATGAGTTGACCCGCAACCTTTTGAAACTGCTGTTTTACGGATATGTACCGTATGCGTGATAATTTTTGCACCATCGTACAAATAACGTTCCCGTTTCACATGTGCATACAATGCCTTGGTTTTCTTTGCATGCACTTAACCTATTGGCAAATCAAAGTTGGCACTCGTGGAGAATAGATGAACTATGAAGGTGATGATGGTTTCAAAATTTTACACGGTGAGGTATACGAATTCAATCTTAAAATGCCTTTATTTTGCAAATGGAGCATTTTATTTAAATCTGGTTGATGCTACGTTAGTATAAAACTTAAGGACTACTCAATAGATAATTAATATAGAAAAAATAATTTCTTTCAGATTTGTATGTGTAGACATCGATTTAAGCTTTTCTACAACTGTAGCAGCAACCAGATTTTAATAAAATGCTCCATTTGCAAAATAAAAGCATTTTGAGATTGCTCTCGTATACCTCCCAGGGGAAAATTTTGAAACCAACATCACTCTCATAGTTCTTCTATTATCCACGAGTGCCAACTGTGATTTGCCAATAGCTCATACCGTAGTGATGTCAATTATACAAGGTCTGACCCAACCGGCTTATTGGTATTAGTGAAATGTGGAAATGTTTAGTGGTGTTCGTATTTCATCGCAATGTTTATCTTTTTACACAAAACAGCTGTTTTCTGTGACGACACGTCTGCCATTCGCAGTATGGAATGTTGTGCTGCCGTGACATCGTCATTCGCTTGTTCAGCAATGTTTACAACATTTTTGCTTCTAACACCAGCAAGCTGCCTGTTGTTCCAGACCTTGTATGATTGACATAGATACCGTAGTAGGCTGTCTATAAAAGAAAATGATTTACTTAGTTTGACAGTTGCACCATGACGAAGTGGCAGCGTATTCGTGATTTGTCCCACGCGCAAATATCGCAAAAAGACATTTCACCGTCAAAAGGGTTTTAGATCGAGAAAAGAAAGGACAACTATCCGCGAAGGTGGCCACAGGTCGTCCGAGGTCAGCTCGGGTTCCGAGGGTTACCGCTGCTATTAAAAGGAAGATTTGGGTGAATCCAGTGCGTTCAATAAGGAAAATGGCAAAGGAACACGGGATCAGTGACTTTACGGAACGGAAGATCGTAAAGGAAGATTGAGGGGCGAAGTCGAGGGCACGGAAAAAAACTCACATGATTACCAACCGCATCCGGGAGCTATGAGTCGAACGATTCAAGAAAATCTTGAACTTCCTTAAGCGAAAAAATCCGGTAATCCTGTTCACCGGCGAGAGCATGTTTACCGCCGATCCCGTATCAAATTCCAGAACCGACCGGTATATTAGGTATATCTTCCAGTAAAAGACGTGGCCGACGTGTATCTGACCAAGCATCCTGCTAGCGTTATGGTGTTTGGATTGGTGGCTTCCGATGGCAAAAAAAATGGACCCGGTATTCATTCCAGAAGGCGACAAGGTCTACATTGGGATTTTAAGTAAGTATGTTCTTCCGTGGATCAAAGAACAGTACGGTCCGAAGCCAAATGTTGTATTTCAACAAGATGGGGCTCCGTGCCACACCTCTGGGTGAAGGATATGTGGCCGCCATCAAGCCACGATCTTAATCCGCTGGATTATTCAATATGGCGCGTCATAAAGGCCAAGGCCTGTTCTAAACGCCACCCGAGTACAGCAAGCCTCAGACAAACAATGACCCGTACCTGGAGAGAATTGGATCCAGACTACATTATTAGAACCTGCCGTGCATTCCGGAAGCGTGTCGAGGCCGTATTTGCAGCAAATGGAAACTCGATCGATGATTAACGTAGTTTAAGACTCTGAGAAACATCCCCCCTTTGAATAAATAAAAAAACTCGAAAACGAAATAATTGAGAATTTTTTAAATTTGACATTGCTCAATGGTGCAAACATTATCACGCATACGGTATATGATCAGGTATATGGTATTATTTATTATCTTGGGTGTCACCCCTCTAAGGGTGGCACCCGGGGCGGACCGCACTCCCCGCCCCCGG